CTTCCGGTATCGCGCGGAGTACCTATCTGCCATCTGCCAGGCAATGCAAGCGCTCTATTCGTGAGTACGTCCACGATCTGCGCTTCCTTGCGTCCTGTGTCACCCAGAAGTCTTCGCTCTCCGAAGAGGCTAAGGTGGCTATCTTTATGAACGGCCTCAACGACTCAGCTGCGCGCACGCAGCTCTTTCGGACATATCCTTCGACATTCGAAGATGCCGTCCGCACCGCGCTGGCCGAAGAGTTTTCGGTTCTCCAATCGCGCACCACGACCAAGACCCGCGACCCACATGACATGGAGGTCTCTGCTATGACATCACCCACCACCGACCGTCGTTGCTTCAACTGCAACCGACCGGGACACTTCTCCCGCGAGTGTCGCCAACCACGCCGTGCGCCGACATCCGCTCGTGGTACTGCCGCATCACCTGCACCCCGTTTCGCGCATCCCGTTGTCGATCGCGCACGCGGCGGTCGCGAGTTTCCTCGCGGGCGGGGAAACGGGACTCCTCAGTAGGCGCGAGGCGTCCTGCTGAGGCTACAGAGGGCTTGCCGTTTGATCGTGATGGCATAACACGATCCGCAGGCCCTGCCTCGGACACAGTGATTCTGTGTCAGATCGGAAGACAACCTTCCCGCATGTTGTCCTTCCCCAGTCGTATCTCTGGGTACGACCGTTTGTTCCGCGTCCTGATCGACAGCGGTGCGTCGGAAAATTATGCCCGACGCGCATCGATTCAGCTGAATCGTTCCATCTACGATGGCGCCACCCGGCGCGCATCGCCGCACTCCGTCGTGCGTGTAAAGATGGCTGATGGCAAGGTTGTCACCTCGCCGAAGGTCCTTGTCGACCTTCCCACGTCGGTGGGAGATTTTGTCTCGACCGAACAATTCTATGTCATCGACCTCGATGACCGCTGGGATTTGATCCTTGGCATGCGATGGTTGGAGAAACACCAACCCTGGATCGATTGGCGATCCAAGACCATGCGCAAGATCGCATCCGTCCACCCTTCTACCGACCTAGGCGTGATGAGTAATGAACTCACTCCTTTGCCTGGTCTGGTGACGCCGTTAGTCACGCGTCCAACCGCCTCGGCTACGAGGCTGGACGTACCTTCCGCCATCGTTGGCGATGCCGCCACGTTTGGCGATGATATGGAAGCCGCCATGGTTGGCGATGCCGCCACGTTTGGCGATGATATGGGAGCCGCCATGGTTGGCGATGCCGCCACGTTTGGCGATGACATGGGAGCCGCCATGGTTGGCGATGCCGCCACGTTTGGCGATGACTCGAGAACCGCCATGAACGGCGATGGTCCGAATTCCACCCCCAGTGGACACCCGACGCGTGATGCACACGCTTTTGTCCTCTCAGCCTGCGACCTGTCCGAGTTGCCGC